AATTCGCATGAAACTGGTGAAGACCACTCTACATGCATTTAGATGCTTTTGAGCTCAGGACACACATTTGGGATATCACATTGAGCAGTTCAGAAAACAACTTCACATTCTTTTAGAGAAATTTAGATCTCAAATGTCGAAATTGATATCTCATCAACTAATCTTGCGCCTGAAAAATGGGAATAAGTGTAGAGGTGAGAAAGCATGAATAAACCGAATGATTGCACCCATTACAAAGAATACAGTTAATTTTCAAAAAAGACTCACTCATCATTTCAAAATACTTATCTCCTTTCCCTCATCATCCAGAGAATGCTGATTTGTAGCGCGGAGCAAACTAATAATGACCTCCAGCCTCTGATATTCTCACTTTCTTGCCCTTCATTAGAACACAGAGGCGTCAGCGCTAAGTCGATCGCGCTACACGACGACCGGAAATCCGGCCAATAACAACAGCAATTCTGGCGGTGGCAACAACAGCAGCAACACTACTGCCACCAGTGGTTACTACTCGCGACCTTCACCCAGCTACACTTCCACATCCTCCACCACTGTCGGCCCCACTACTATCACTTCTGCAGTATCTACTGCTCCTTCCTCTTCCTCTCGTGCTGCGGTGTGCTCATACTTTTTTAACAAATTTTAACTAAACTTTGATTTAAGACCAACATTTTTTGGTGCCTGATACACTTTTTATTACTTGTTGGGCGTCGCATGATCCTCGGTTATTTACCAGCCATGAAGAATATTCAATTTAATATAAAATAACAAAGGTACTATCCTTTTTAAAAAGTGGTCTGATGTCCGTTTCAAGTATGGTTACAAGTTCTCATGCACGATTTCTTAAAAATTGAGACGAAACGACAATGCTCGAGTTCTTAAACTAGTCGATCTGTGTACGTGTTTCTTGCTAAAAGTATTTTTTGGATGCTCGCCTTGCATTCACAAATGTTCAACAAGGGGAACTTTACCAATATTGTCTTAGTGTTTCATTTGGTCTTGGTTACACAAAATATTGCTTTTTGTCTTCGCACACTAATTGTTTGAATAGGTTTTTACGTATGTGTGAGGCCATATTCTGATGCATAAACAATGATCAAGCGTTTGAAGTAATCTCGAATATGCATTATCTTCCCTAATTTATTCGTTGGAAGACAGTTGTCATTTGATTAGGGAATTTCCCTTATCTAGGGTTTCTACGAATTGATTTCGACCACTGCGTGTATAACCATAGTCATTTCGGACTAACCTGATTCCAATGGTGTCCATGTCTCTGCTCAATTGATCCTGCTACTGTTTATTTCTTCAGGCACCTATTATTTACATTGTTATCACAATTCGTTCTCACCGAATTGTTACCTTTAGTAAGTATGTAATAGAGATTTTTTGAGTTGAGAATCACTAAACTGTGCCATCAAGGCTCCATACATTGTTTTGCTGAGTATCGGTTTGCCATAAATTCGAACAGAAGAATTCAAATTCCACTTTAACACTTTTTGGTTTCCGGTTCCTGGTTTTTCATTGTTTTTCATTTGTAGCTCCATGTCATCCAGATTAAATGTTTCACATGAATCCTTATTGAGTTTATTCTTTTAACCGATTCACCCACTGCATATGCCACTACTAAGACACTCATTATAGCACTTCATTTTGTGCTTTGTATCACTTGATTGATAGCTCATTTTACTGCTGCTGGATATGATATTCGTGCCCGCACAAATGCAAACCCTTATTACACGTTATCTAATTGCCCAGCCTCCATATTGTTCAGCAACTTCTCGTGCCGTGTCATACAAATTTTATCTGAGTTTCCAACTGAAATTGTGGAATATATATGCAGAGTTTAGATTAGCTCGTGCAATCCCGGTAACCCTTTCACTGGGTAGGGGTTGAGTCTTCCCCTTTACTAAGATTGTAGTTTAATTTCGGATGTCTTTTCTGACCAAGTCCTCCTACGGATCATCGATAAGTATGATTTGTGTGAAGTCTGATTTAGTTCGGTTTCTAGAGTGAGCCTTTGATTTCTTGCAAATAGTTTGTGCCGATTTTCCATTTGGTCAGAATATTGTTTTCATTCCATCAAACCATACCCAGTTTCAAAGTGTATGATCGTGATGTGCTTGTTATCGTCCTAATCTAATAATTAGGAAGCTAATGTTGCCTGATTCATCATAGCCTCAAAATCTTGATTCAAATGGGGTGATTAAACACCTTTCTTAGCAAAAGATATTTGCTTCATTCCAACTTTGAGGATTCATACTTATTTATATTGATTGAGTAAATATTGTTTGAGCATCCAACGCTCTTGTAGCGAAAAGGCTTTTGAATTTGCTTGCGAGATAGGTAGTACTGCCATGAAACAGCCGATTAACAAGGTCCTAACGTTTCCTCCAG